TTGTCGCCGACGAGACGCGTGTGGTGCGGTGGCGCTGGGGCGAGAGCGAGCGCAGCAGAGAGGCGTGAGGAGGAGAAGAAGTAATGGGGCGCACTGTTCGGGGGACTCCGGTCCAACGCCTTATATAAGGCCACTTCTGAGTGGCTGACAGGTAGGCCCAGATGGCTCCGTCAGATCCCGCAATGACCGCGCGAGCGATACGTGGCGAAAAAGGTGGCGTGGGGATCGAGGCGGCTCCGCTCTATCCCATCCGATTACTGCGGCCTCCCCCGTCCCGCACGCTTCCCGAAATTCGGATCCCACTAAATCCGCAGGCAGCAAACAAACTTGTCAGACTAAAAGATCTCCTCCGCACCGTCACTCGGAACCTTACAGGTAAAGAAACTCACTCGGCGAAGAATTAAGAATGGATCAAGGCGACTGAAAAAGAAGTTGCTGTCATCACTCGGGTCCATTGATCTGAAGCAAGATATGCTCACGACATGAAAAACGAGTCGGAGAGGTCCTCAACTCCTTCCCCACTCAAACCTCGATCCATTCGGGGGCTAATGATGAAGCTATGAACCTAGGGTAGGGTCATAGACCTGCCCTAACTGCCCTACCCAAGGACATCTCTAGAAGAAATCGTCTTTCAATCGACTTGAAGGTGTCCCACTCGACAGACTCGAAGACACTCGACCAAGAAGCAATCACTCGACCAAGACCCAACCACTCGACGGCCAGGAGACCTAAAGGCGCCCCGCACGCTAACGGTCGGTCATTAAGTAGCTTTTATGGTCATCATAGCACTTTATTACTAGCTTTGCCAGAAACGCCCTACCTTAATGTACATTGAACCCTTCGTAACGTGGGCTGGCCGGGGTCCTGGCGCACTCTATATAAGCCACCCCCTCCTCCGAGACAAGGGTTCGCACCTCTGTAACTCATACACACATAATCCAGTCGACCATCTTCGGGCTCCGAGACGTAGGGCTTTTACTTCCTCCGAGAAGGGCCTGAACTCGTAAACCCTGCGTCCTTACAACCTCTCCATAGTTAAGACCTCGCCTCTCCATACTTACCCCCTACATTACTGTCAGACTTAGAACCACGACAGTCAAATCAATCACATCATTCTCCTAATGATGTCATCCTGTTAATTAAATGACAACTCATGTCTATGGTTAGGAAACATAACCATCTTTGATCAACGAGCTAGTCAAGTAGAGGCATACTAGTGACACTCTGTTTGTCTATGTATTCGCACATGTATTATGTTTCCGGTTAATACAATTCTAGCATGAATAATAAACATTTATCATGATATAAGGAATAAATAATAACATTATTATTGCCTCTAGGACATATTTCCTTCAAATTTTAGCACACTATATAAATTTTTCCTTACCAAATTTCACCTACCAAAGGCGCTTCACTCCCCGGCAACGGCGCCAGAAAAGAGTCTTGATGACCCACAAGTATAGGGGATCTATCATAGTCCTTTCGATAAGTAAGAGTGTCGAACCCAATGAGGAGCAGAAGGAAATGATAAGCGGTTTTCAGCAAGGTATTCTCTGCAAGCACTGAAATTATAGGTAACAGATAGTTTTGTGATAAGATAATTGGTAACGAGCAACAAGTAACAAAAGTAAATAAAGTGCAGGAAGGTGGCCCAATCCCTTTTGTAGCAAAGGACAAGCCTGGGCAAATTCTTATATAGAGAAAAGTGCTCCCGAGGACACATGGGAATTATCGTCAAGCTAGTTTTCATCACGTTCATATGATTCGCGTTCAGTACTTTGATAATATGGTAAGTGGGTGGACCGGTGCTTGGGTGCTGCCCTTACTTGGACAAGCATCCCACTTATGATTAACCTCTATTGCAAGCATCCGCAACTACAATAAAAGTATTAAGGTAAACCAAACCATAGCATGAAACATATGGATCCAAATCAGCCCCTTACGAAGCAGCGCATAAAGTAGGGTTTAAACTTCTGTCACTCTAGCAACCCATCATCTACTTATTACTTCCCAATGCCTTCCTCTAGGCCCAAATAATGGTGAAGTGTCATGTAGTCGACGTTCACATAACACCACTAGAGGATAGACAACATACATCTTATCAAAATATCAAACGAATACCAAATTCACATGACTACTAATAGCAAGACTTCTCCCATGTCCTCAGGAACAAATGTAACTACTCACAAAGCATATTCATGTTCATAATCAGAGGGGTATTAATATGCATATAGGATCTGAACATATGATCTTCCACCAAATAAACCAACCAACATCAACTACAAGGAGCAATTACCACTACTAGCAACCCACAGGTACCAATCCCAGACTTAGAGACAAGAATTGGATACAAGAGATGACCTAGGGTTTGAGAGGAGATGGTGCTAGTGAAGATTTTGATGGAGATTGACCCCCTCCCGATGAGAGGATCGTTGGTGATGACGATGACGATGATTTTCCCCTCTCGGAGGGAAGTTTCCTCGGCAGAACAACTCCGCCGGAGCCCTAAATTGCTTCCGCCAAGGTTCCGCCTCGTGGCGGCGGAGTTTTGTCTCGAAAGGTGGCTTATGATTTTTTTCCTCATCGAAAGACTCCATATAGCAGAAGATGGGCATCGGAGGGCCACCAGGGGGCCCACGAGGTAGGGGGCGCGCCCCCACCCTCGTGGGCAGGGTGTGCCCCCCCCCCCCCCCTCTGAAACTTCTTGCGCTTAGTATTTTTTATATATTCTGAAAATGGCTTCCGTGAAGTTTCAGGACTTTTAGAGCTGTGCAGAATAGGTCTCTAATATTTGCTCCTTTTCCAGCCCAGAATCCTAGCTGCCGGCATTCTCCCTCTTTATGTAAACCTTGTAAAATAAGAGAGAATAGGCATAAGTATTGTGACATAATGTGTAATAACAGCCCATAATGCAATAAATATCGATATAAAAGCATGATGCAAAATGAACGTATCAATGGTCCTACCAGTGACGAAACCCCTTTTTTGCGGGGTGAACCATACTAGTTTTTGTGAACGAGGTTAATGAACCCCTGCAATCTGCTGGCAAGGAGTTTAGTGAAAAGTTTAAGGCTAGAATTTAGGAGGGAAATGAACATCTAATCATTGGTTGCCCTAAAAAACATCTAATCATTGGTGATTTCTAGGGAGAACCTTAGGGATTTTGGCATTGTAGGTTGATTAAGACCTGATGGAAGTCGTCACAAACAAGTCCCATTTTATCCTGTTTCGGCCCTTCTTTAGGAATAGGCAGTTGAAGCCATCATGCCCAGGATACGATCAATGGGGATATTATGGACACTTTGAAAAAAACATCTCTGGTGAAAAGGCGCAGGTAAAACAGAAAGACTCTCATGGGCCATGGCGATTGAGGTTAAAATGCATCGTATGTTTTTCTAGGAACTTGCTGTGCTTTATTGAGCAAACGAAATGTTCATCGGAATATAACGGTGGAAGGTGTTCCAGGTGACCATTTCACGGTCATACTTTACGGCCCAGAAGATGCCTTCAATATAATCCACACCAAAAATAATATGCACATCTATTTCACGGGCATACTTTACGGCCCAGAAGATGCCTTCGATATAATCCCTTCCTTCTCATTCCATCTACCCCCACCACCCAACTCATTGTACTTGTTTTTACTCCTGCTTAATATATATATGTGGCATTGCTGCCCTTCCCTCGAAAAATAATCTACACCAAAAATAAAAAATAGTCCACACCATGGCCCATGAGAGTCTCTCTGTTTATTTTATTTGATATAGGCAATAAATATCGTCCAAATGCCATCTTCGGAAACACCTTCAAATGTGCATATTATTTTTAAGGGAAAATGGCAATAATTATGCACGAATTTGCATTTTATTTAAGAGATCACAAATGACCGTATACCTTCTTCTTCTTCTTCTTCTTCTTCTTCTTCTTCTTCTTCTTCTTCTTCTTCAGTTTATCATTTATGCCACTATTTGTGTCCCACTACTCAGTTTTGCCACTAGAAATTTCAAGTGCTAAAAAATGCCATCGCTTCGTTAGGTGCATGCTCAAAAATTCCACCATACACCATTACTGCTAGCTCAAATCTCGTTTACCCTATTATAATGACATAAATATCTATGGACCAACATGTCAGCTCTCCCTTTATCTCACTACAATAAAGTATGGGTCTCACTTGATCCCAACAACGTTTTTATTTTCCTGTAAAATTGCTCGCTTGCTTACTCTTACAAGTGGGGCCCATACATATGATTGTGAGATAGAAAGAACAGAAATGTGGGTCTATGGATATTTTTGTCATATAACATGGCCAACGGGTTTGACCTGACAATAACGATGTCCAATGGCATTTTTGAGCAAACATCTAACGGAACGGTGATTCTTTTAGATATCTAATGCATTTTCGAGCAAGCATCTCACGGTACGATGACATTTTTGAGCAGTTGTAACTTTTAGTGGCAAAATTGAGCAGTGGGACACAACTAGTGGCATAAGTGATAAAAACCCTAGAATATAAACATATATGAAAAAAGCCATTTTTTTATTTACATCACAGGCATGCACACCGCCACTTGTTTATCTTTTTGAAGAACCAGCAGTTTCAGAGAATACAAGCATTGGCAATGCATGAAAATACATGATTTTATTTATCCGGGCTTAAGAGATTATTATGTATGTACACATAGACAATGGCTGAATTATTACATCTTGGTACCAGTTACCAGAAGTACCTCCCTAAAAAGAATGCATCCCAAAACTATCTCTAAAAGGAATGAGCCCCAAACTATCAAAAAAGGAAAGAAAAATGGCAAAAAAACTGAGAAAGGGGCTAAAGGTATGTATTTGTGTGCTGTGGAGAACAGTGGTCTACCTAGGCATGACTGACTGTAATGTGTTGAGACATGATTTTTGTGTATATGCACTGTCTATATGCACAAGGAATGTAATATGCAAAAAAGGGAAAAGAAAGAAAAAGGATCGATCTGATCTAATCAATCGTGAATTTATGCTGCATCTGGGTGTAGTATGTGTTGGTGTTCATTGGTAGCCTTGGCGAATCTGCCCTTGACTCGCTTTCGTGTGTCCGCCCTTGCTTTTCGGGACGCGTACATGATCTGCTTGCAGAACCTGCAAAATTGTTTCAAATTCGAATTCAAACTCGCATCAATTGCCTTTTTTGTCTGTAAGAAGAGTTGTCAAATGGAAAATTAATTCAGACTTACTTCCTGTTCTTCTTCTTCTCGTTGTACCTTTGCTTGGCCCTGTCCCGTTCCTCTCTCTTCTTACTAACGGTGCTCGGATCTTGCTGATGATGAGCCACCGCTCCTTGCTCATCCGCGGCCAGCATCTGTGATAGCTGGATGGCATCATGACAGTCAGTGCCATTCTCCGGTGGTGGTGGCGGCGATATTAGGGGCAAGGCAGGGCAGAAAGTAGGGAAGCCATCAAGGAGCAGCGATGGATGATGATCGTTGCTCATGGATTGCAGAACCATGGCCGGCTGGCACGACAATGTCGATGGGTTATAAGATGAGTATGATGATGAGATGTGGCAGATTGACGGTGGCAGCTGCTGCTGTTGCTGCCAAGAAATTAAACCAAGCAATGTAATTTGTCATTGCCAAATAACTGGGATGCAAATTAGTTGTGTTAATTAGCAGTGTGAGTGAGCGAATGAGTGGTGTGTATGTATGTACCTCAAAAGTGAGTGAAGGCCCAGCTAAGTGATGACCAACAAGTACTCCATTGGTATTCTCAAGCACAGAACATTGTGGAGCACAGGTAGTTGAGCAGCCATTGTTCCAATCATCACAGACGAAGCTACTGCTGCTGGGGCCTCTTTGATCTCCTCCTATTGTTGTCGTGCCACTCGCATCACAGATCTGAGATCCATCCTCCATGAATGTAGTGAGAGCACCACAAATTAACACAATGAGTACTCATGCGCCATCCTAGTTAAGAGGTAAGAGAGATATTCAATCGTAATTAGCCGTCGATTCATCGAGGCGGCGGAAGCCATATTGGCACTTGTAGCTAGCATTGTTGGCTTTGTGTGCTAAAAATGAAGTTTTTTAGACGATTCATTTATAATTACCTCTGTACAATTCGCTCGACTAGAGAAAGACATCCTTTCTTTTACCATATACTCCATTACTAAATGAAAGTTATTTTTCAGATTTTTAACTTGGAAGATCGATACTTAGCCTCGATCCATATTTAGCAGTCCCCTGTTTTCCTTGAAAAAGCAAGATTGCAATTGCACATTTTTCATACTCAAGTTAGTACATTTTGTTAAGAAAAAACCCCTTCAGGTGTGCCTTTTGTTTCTTGAGGCTTCACTCGTTCTGTAGTATCTGTGTAATTTTTCTAGAACTCATTTTTGCTTTTTATGTGATGTATACAGTCAAACTAACTAACATGCGTTCAATAGTGATTAGAAGGTACTGTCAGTCAGTTAGTCAGTTAGTTGGATAAAGATCAAGCTTGGCACCACAAAAATTGAGAGGAGAACAGAACATTCATGGTAACCTTCATTAATCATTCATATGATCCCATATCCTTCATTATCCATTCATATGATCCATAGATCATTGATCCACCATTAAATGTATCAGGGAAGAAATCCACCTTTTTTACATCACAGATAGCACACTCCCCACTTCCTTTTGTTACAGTATATACAATGTAGGTAGTAGCACCAAGCCTATATCATTCCCTTGATCATTAATCACTCACACTCTCTCACTCACTTTTTATTGTCATCAGTCTCTCTTCTATATACCATTCCGTTGATCGATACATAGCAGCACTACCCACTGAATTTAGTCGCTGGATCACACACAATGTATCACACAATCAAACTGTCCAAGGAAGATTTGGCACACAAGAAACAAGACGATCAAGAAGAGTCTCTCTCAATTGCACATAGTGGCGCAAAAAAGAAGTGAAATTTGGAAATAAACCCAGTAGATGTGTACCTGAACATCCTGTAGGATTTGGGGGAGGTTGTCGGCGAGCCAGGCGTCGAAGTCCTCCTGCGACGACGACGACGGCGCGTCGACGGAGAGGGTGCGGAGGACCTCGGCGGGCGCGGGGCAGCCGGTGTAAACCTCCACGAGGGAGGCGCCGCCGCGGCCGTCGGCGCAGCCGGTGCAGAGCGTGGCCCAGTGGGCGCCGAATTGGTAGCGGAGCGCGGCGGGCGCGGCGCAGCAGCCGTCGCAGAGCGGGGCGCGCGAGTGGAGGCCCGCGAGCTCGCTGGCGCCGTGCACGGCGCCGTCGCACTCGAGGCAGAGCCTGGCGCCGTCGGCGATGCAGAAGATGACGGCGCGCTCGGTGACGCAGTTGCTGCACCTGCACGTCAACGTCGGGAGCAGCTGCTGGTGGTCCGCCATTATGATGGCGCGCGTGCAGAGTGATGGCACTCCTCATTCATCTACCAGCGCATCCGCAATGCACGTGACAAAGGCCGCGATGGCGGGTGGACGACGGACGGATGGGGCGGCGGCGCCGGCGAGGTGGGGGCCTACGGGTGAAGAAATAGGCGGCGGGGGCTGGGGGAGGAGAGGCCGGGAGGGGTCTTGGCGGTTAGTTTGCGGTTGACGGGCGCGCCAAGTCCCCACGTAATGCGGGCCACGGCGGTTAGTTTGCGGGCCCCGGCTCGCGTGGGGGTCCTCGGCTGGCGGCGGATCTGGCGAGGCCCTCTGCTGGTTGGCGTCAGCGCGGTCTCTGGCAGCGGCGTGAGGCCACGGCGGTGCCCCTCCCATTTCTGCACGCATATTGGACTCGAGCATGCGGCAAGGCGGCTGTCCACGGCGACCGTCGGCTGGGGCTAGCATGTAACGGGGCTTTGAAGGTGGTCATGGCCGGTACTGTGGAGGGAGGTTGTGTGCGGCTGGAGTTAATGGTGCCTCTCTCTCAAAAAAAAAAGATCACCCATGACTAAAAGGTACTCCTTCCGTTCCGAATTACTTCTCGCTTATATGGATGTATCTAGATGTATTTTAGTTCTAGATACATCCATTTCTATGACGAGTAATTTGGAACGAAGAAAGTATCTGCATGGCAGTAGATATTTGTTCATCCATGCATGTATTAAAGTGCAGCAAACGGCTGGATTACCATCGTGCAGCTAACGTGGAGACAGTCGTCGTCCGCACAACAGTTCCATATTTTTGTAGAAGAAACTCTAAACACCACGGGTCACTCAAGTCTCGAACCTGGATGAGCTAGCATGCTCCTTGCGGGCCTAGCCAACAGGGTGATATCATGTTCTCGTGCCTCCGTTGAGAGCTCGAGGACCAGACCTGACGGGGCGCTAGATGTTGCTCCATAGGAGTGGGTGCAGGGTGGGGCGTTGCACCTCTGAGAGTGGCGGACTCTCCCCGTATGTCGCCCAATATGTATTCTTTGGATAGTCGTGGCAGTTCTGTCTGATGGGGAACGTTGCAGAAAACAAAAAAAAAATCTACGGTTTCACCAAGATTCATCTAGGAGTTCATCTAGCAACGAGTGATTGGATTGCATCTACATACCTTTGTAGATCACGCGCGGAAGCGTTCAAAGAACGGGGATGAGGAAGGCGTACTCGACGTGATCCAAATCACCGGAGATCCTAGCGCCGAACGGACGGCACCTCCGCGTTCAACACACGTACGGTCAGCGTAACGTCTCCTCCTTCTTGATCCAGCAAGGGGAAGGAGAGGTTGAGGAAGATGGCTCCAGCAGCAGCACGACGGCGTGGTGGTGATGGAGCTGCAGTACTCCGGCAGGGCTTCGCCAAGCACTATGGAGGAGGAGGAGGTGTTGGAGAGGGAGAGGGAGGCACCAAAGGCGTGGGTTGAGAGGCCCTCCTTTCCCCACTATATATAGGGAGTCCAAGGGGGGGACGCCGACCCTAGGAGATCCAATCTCCTAGGGGGGGCGGCGGCCAAGGGAGGAATCCCCCCCCCAAGGCACCTAGGGGGTGCCTCCCCCCTTTGGGACTCTTCCCTTCTTGAACCCTAGGCGCATGGGCCTCTTGGGGCTGTTGCCCTTGGCCCATGTAGGCCAAGGCGCACCCCCTACAGCCCATGTGGCCCCCCCGGGGCAGGTGGCCCCATCCGGTGGACCCCCGGGACCCTTTCGGTGGTCCCGGTATAATACCGGTGACCCCGAAACTTGTCCCGATGCCCGAAATAGCACTTCCTATATATATAATTCTTTACCTCCGGACCATTCCGGAACTCCTCGTGACGTCCGGGATCTCATCCGGGACTCCGAACAACATTCGGGTTACTGCATATACATATCCCTACAACCCTAGCGTCACCGAACCTTAAGTGTGTAGACCCTACGGGTTCGGGAGACATGTAGACATGACCGAGATCGCTCTCCGGTCAATAACCAACAGCGGGATCTGGATACCCATGTTGGCTCCCACATGCTCCTCGATGATCTCATCGGATGAACCACGATGTCGAGGATTCAAGCAACCCTGTATACAATTCCCTTCGTTAATCGGTATGTTACCTGCCTGAGATTCGATCGTTGGTATCCCAATACCTCGTTCAATCTCGTTACCGGCAAGTCACTTTACTCGTACCGTAATGCATGATCCCGTGACCAGACACTTGGTCACTTTGAGCTCATTATGATGATGCATTACCGAGTGGGCCCAGTGATACCTCTCCGTCATACGGAGTGACAAATCCCAGTCTTGATCTGTGTTAACCCAACAGACACTTTCGGAGATACCCGTAGTATACCTTTATAGTCACCCAGTTACGTTGTGACGTTTGGTACACCCAAAGCACTCCAACGGTATCCGGGAATTACACGATCTCATGGTCTAAGGAAAGGATACTTGACATTGGAAAACTCTAGCAAACGAACTATACGATCTTGTGCTATGTTTAGGATTGGGTCTTGTCCATCACATCATTCTCCTAATGATGTGATGTCGTTTATCAATGACATCCAATGCCCATAGTCAGGAAACCATGACTATCTATTGATCAACGAGCTAGTCAACTAGAGGCTTACTAGGGACATGTTGGTGTCTATTATTCACACATGTATTACGATTTCCGGATAACACAATTATAGCATGAATAAAGACAATTATCATGAACAAGGAAATATAATAATAATCCTTTTATTATTGCCTCTAGGGCATATTTCCAACAGTCTCCCACTTGCACTAGAGTCAATAATCTAGTTACATTGTGATGAATCGAACACCCATGAAATTCTGGTGTTGATCATGTTTTGCTCTAGGGAGAGGTTTAGTCAACGGATCTGCTACATTCAGGTCCGTATGTACTTTACAAATATCTATGTCTCCATCTTGAACATTTTCACGAATGGAGTTGAAGCGACGCTTGATGTGCCTGGTCTTCTTGTGAAACCTGGGCTCCTTGGCAAGTGCAATAGCTCCAGTGTTGTCACAGAAGAGTTTGATTGGCCCCGACGCATTGGGTATGACTCCTAGGTCGGTGATGAACTCCTTCACCCAAATTGCTTCATGCGCTGCCTCCGAGGCTGCCATGTATTCTGCTTCACACGTAGATCCCGCCACGACGCTCTGCTTGCAACTGCACCAGCTTACTGCCCCACCATTCAAAATATACACGTATCCGGTTTGTGACTTTGAGTCATCCAGATCTGTGTCAAAGCTAGCGTCGATGTAACCTTTTACGACGAGCTCTTCGTCACCTCCATAAACGAGAAACATTTCCTTAGTCCTTTTCAGGTACTTCAGGATATTCTTGACCGCTGTCCAACGTTCCTTGCCGGGATTACTTTGGTACCTTCCTACCAAACTCACGGCTAGGTTTACATCAGGTCTGGTACACAGCATGGCATACATAATAGAACCTATGGCTGAGGCATAGGGGATGACACTCATCTCTTTTATATCTTC